GTGGATCCTTCTTCAGTTTCCAGGAGTGCCAGTGAGCAGGTTGACTTGAATTCAGACTGAATTATTGAATTGGCCCTGAGCCGATGATAACAATAGAAACCATTTATGGATTACTTACGCCCCGCAGGAGCAGAGCCAGGTGTTCCAGGTAGAGGGGACAGCACGTGCAAAGGCCCTGAGGCAGGAACAGCTCTGTGTCTGAAGAACAACCCGGAGGCTTGTGTGGCTGGAGCAGAGGGAATGGGGTGGAGTGGAGGTGGGATGAGATGAGTTCTAGGGAGGGCAGGGCCAGTCCACAAAGAGTCTTTCAGGGGTTGGTAGGGCTTTGAATTTTATTCTGAGAACTATGGGAACCTGTTGGATCCCTGAGCGTATCACGGGAGGTGTGGAGTAGGCAGTTGGGATATTTGAGTCCAGAATTGGGCTCCGAGATCTCAGTTTGGGGGTGGGAACCACAGGATTTATGTCACTTAGGGAGGGGAGCAGAAGGCTCAGGGTGCCCCCCACCCTGAAAGGTCTGAGTATGGATGATGGAGATGTGGCAGAGGCCCCACTATGTCTTCTTTGGGGAAATTGCCATGTGCTGATTGGCTCAGCTTGGCTTCCCCAACAAACCTTTGAAGAGGGAGATGGGGTCACGCTTACATAATCAGGTAGACCCTAGGAGGTGGGCTGGGTCAGCGCCTCGCAGTGCACAGAGAGTTGTGCTCACCTGAATGAGTGCCTGGGTACCCTGGACAGGGCAACAGGAATGAATGCTGGGAGGGAGAAGCCTCGTCTACCCAGAAGGCTGTGGGAGCAGCCCTGAGTCTGACATTGGTGTCGGCAGGAACCACAGGAGGGGCAGGTAGCCCCGCAGTTCTTTACAGACCTCCTTGCCCTTTCAGAGTGCCAGGGTTTCCTGGGGCTTGTGGGCAGGCCTCTGACAAGGTCACGTAGCAGGTCACAGGTTGTTTGGACCGATGTGTCTTGCCCAGGTGTCGTGCCTAAGTTCCAGGAGCTCCTGGCCCGGCTGCCTGGCCGGTCTGCACACGCCTTCTCACCAGTGTCAGGACCAGCAGGGCTTGTGATGAAGACTGGGTAGTGAGTCTGTATCAATAAGTTTATGAGAGCCGAGACAAAGGGGTGAAAATTACTTTTTACAGGGTGCCACTAGAAGACCCTGGAATCCCAACTCAGTGGTGACCCCCTTCTCGGCCACCCAGACTTTGCATCCCCTGCCTCCTCAGGTGTGACTCTGTGCCAGCCCCTTTCTCTCTGGGTCTCGGTGCCCTCCCTGGGAATACGGGGGTAGGCCTGGATGGTGGGGGCACCCTCCCCTTTTCAGAGTACCCTGTTCCCAGACGAGAGCCGGGTTGTGCCAATGCCATAGTGAGCTCTTCTCTGTATGCCCTGTGCATCTACTGTGCCACTCAAATGAGATTTGGTACTAATTTGCCTGAGGTAAGTAGGTGTTAATTTGTAGCTACAGCATTAAGATAATTGCTGTGAGGGTCTATTTGTGTAATGTGCAAATATATTTTTATAGCAACAAGCCATTTTGCTATGAAGTATAAATAGAACAGTTGGCTGATTTGAAATCTTTCCGCATGACATCCACGTTGCGGTGAGCCTGGTCTGGCCCACGTGTCCAGCGGGCGCAGCCTCACGTGCTGATGGCTACTCGGTGCCCAAGTCCCCATCTCAGGAAGGAAAGGGCTTGGCAGCAAGAGATTGGGGAAGCAAGTGAAGTGTGTGGACTCAGGTGGAGGCTGAGGCAGTTGGGGTGAGGGAGCCTGTGCTCTGAAGCCCGCTGCCAAGGACAGAGGGTCCATTTGGAACGTCGGGTTTATTTTCACTTGATCTCAGCTTTTGTGGAGGGCCCGCATGTGCCAGGCATGGTACCAGGTACTAGGGATCCGTTTGAGTAAGTCTGGGCAGGAGCTCTGTCCTCAGGAAACTAACCTGGGAGACCCACAGTGGCGTTAACCGAAGGATCATGAAGTGCGTCTAATAGGATCTGCCCAGACCTGGTGGAGAGCTGGGAGTGGTGGGTACGGAGGCCTACGGCATGTGGGAGGGGGCCTGACACCCTGGTGGAAGATCGGAAGGAGAACAGGTCGGGGCTTCAGTAACACAAAGACATGTCTGGTCTTTTCCCCAGCCCCTGGCACAGAGCTCGTGAAACCCTTGGAATTTCCTGAGTAATAAGAGTGAATTTTCCTCATAAGGAACCCCTTTTGACCTTACCTAAGTTTATGCTAATGAGGTGGCTGGGGTGGGCTCCTGGGTAGCTTCCCCATGGAGGCTGGTCACCAGAGGACACGACCACAGATTAGAGGGTTAGAAGTATCAGCCCCGCCGCCTCCCACCTCCCGGGAGGGCAGAGGGGCTGGAGGATGAGCTGTCACCAAGGGCAGTGATTTAACCAATTATGTCTACGTCATGAAACTTGGAGTGAAACTTGGAGTAAAACTCTGAAACAATGAGACTAAGAGAGCTTCCAGGTCGATGAACAAAACTATGTGCTGGGCGGGGTGGGGGTGGGGCACCCAGAGAGGGCCTGGGAGCCCCGTGCACACCCCCGGCCCCACACCTTGCCCTGCGCATCCCTTCTGTTGGCTGTCCCTGAGTCATATCCTTTATAATAAACCGGTCATCATAAGTAAAGTGCTTCCCTGAGTTCTGTAAGTCGTTCTAGTGAATTACTGACCCTGACCCTGACCCTGGGGTGGGGGGAGGACCTCTGAATGTAGCCAAGTCAGACAGAAGTGCAGCTAGCCTGGGAACTTGGGACTTGCAACTGGAGTCTGAAATGGGGCCAGTTTTGTAGGACTGAGCCCTTAAACCTGTGGGAACTCTGGGTAGTTTGTGTCAGAACCTGGTTGAATTGTAGGACACCCAGTCGGTATCAGAGATCAGAGAATTAATGTTGGAATGCCTTATTTGCTGTAGGAGAAAATGCCACACAGGGATAGAGAGAGCTTACAAGGCCCAGGGAAGAACCTGTGCAAAGGCCCTGGGGTCGGTGGGAGCAGGATGGGGACTGGGAGAGTCTCAGATGGGCAGTTTCTGTGGCTGTAGCCATAGAAGGCAAGGGGGCA